TGGACTGGCAGTTCCTACTAGAGGTTTTGAGGAAGTGTGGGTTTGGGGAAAGATGGTGTAGTTGGATGACTAGTTGTGTTAGCTCTTGTCACTATTCCATCCTAGTAAACGGGGTGGTGAGGGATTTTTTTTTCCAGCTAGTAGGGGAATCAGACAAGGGGACCCACTTTCACCCTTCCTCTTTACCTTGGTAGCTAATGTGTTTAGTCGAATTATCACTAGGGCTGATAGGGAAGATGTGATAAGGGGTTGGAGAGAAGGCACAAACCGAATTCCAGTCACTCACCTTCAATTTGCAGATGACTTGATGATCTTCTATGAGGGAGGCTTCGGTGAGAAGGTGGAAATTTTGAAAGAATTGATTACAGTTTTTTAAGGAGTCTCTAATTTGAAAATCAATCTAGGAAAAAGCTGCATAGCCGGAGTAAATTTAGTTTTTGAGGAGGTTGAGGCGATTGCAGGCTGTCTTGAGTGCTCCATTTCCTCCTGGCCTTTGTCTTAGGGCTTCCGTTGGGAGCAAACCCTAAGGAGAGTAGGTTCTGGACCCCAATCTTGGAGAAATTAGAAAAGAGATTAGCTGTATGGAAGAAAAATTATATCTCTTTGGGTGGGAGGATCACTTTGATAAAAGCTACCCTCATGAATCTACCTACCTATTATCTCTTTGTCTTTAGGATACCATCTAGGGAAGCGAAGAAGTTGGAAAAATTGATGAGAGATTTTCTATGGGAACTGGGAGAAGGTAAAAAGGACCACTTAATTAATTGGGGGGTTGTGGGTAGAAGCAAAGAGGAGGGAGGATTAGGGCTCGGGAATGTGCTTAAAAAGAACTCATCTTTGTTAGGGAAGTGGCTGTGGAGATGGCCTTTGGAGCAGGATAGACTCTGGCACGAATAGTGAAGAGTATTCATGGATGTTCAGAGAGTGGTTGGGATGTTGGTACATCAAGGAGGGCTAACCTAACCACACCTTGGAAAGCAATTCACAAAATTCTTCCGTAGTTCCTCAGTTATGTCAGGTATGATGCTTGTTCAAGTAATTCTATTTGGTTTTGGGAGGACATTTTGGTTGGTGATCTCCTTCTGAAAGACCTTGTTCCTTCGTTGTACTCTGTTTCCTTGTATAAAAATGAGGTGATCTCAAAATTCCTTCCGTCGAATTTATTCTTACCAGCTTTGTCTTGGGATTTTGGCTTCCATAGAGGGTTAAGGGATGAGGAAATTGAGTATTTGTCTACTCTTCTGTGTCTCCTTGATAAGGTTTGGTTGGATCCCTCGAAACCTGATAAAAGGATTTGGGCCATTCACCCCAATGGGTCTTTTTCTTGTGGCTCCTTTTTCAAGTTCCTCTGCCAATCTCCCTCTCAACAGAGTTTCCCTTCCAAAGAAGTTTGGTGTAGACCGGTCCCCCCCAAGGTTATGGCTTTGTGCTGGGAAGTGTGGCATGGTAAAGTAAACACAATGGATAACCTACAAAAGAGAAGACTCATCCTTTGTATTTCACCAAACTGGTGCATTCTTTGCAGATCTCATGGTGAGGATTGTAATCATCTATTTTTATCTTGTAGTGTAACTGTAGAGCTCTGGGCTTGGCTTCTATCCTTGTTTGGGTATAGTTGGGATATGCCAGCAAAAATAAGCACAATCTTTAACCCTTCTTTCTTCTCTTGGCCCCATAAAAGAGGAAGGAAAATGTGGAGATGCTCGCAAGCAGCATTGTTATGGACAATATGGGAAGAAAGGAATGCCAAAATCTTCCAAGAAAAAGGAAAAAGCAGTCAAGCCTTAAAGGACAGAATTATGTCCAGGTCATTACATTGGTTAAAGACTCTAGAATTATTTAACCATTTCACTTTTCTTGATTATTGGAAGGATTGGAAATTGGTAGCAAGTTGTTCCTCCTACAAGGGAAGGGTAGTGACTAGCTGGGTCCCCCCTCCTCTTGGTTCTTTGAAGCTGAATTTTGATGGGAGCAGTCAGGGTAACCCAGGTCCCTCTAGGATGGGAGGTGTACTGAGGAATGAGGCTGGAGAGATTGTCTTAATCTACTCTGGCCCTTTAGGAGTTGGGAACTCTACCCGGGCAGAACTGTTAGCTGCAATACAAGGAATACTTCTTGCAAAAGAAGTGGGTGTGGAGCAGCTTCTGATTGAAGGAGACTCTAAGACAATGGTGGACTGGTTAAATAATCCGGAGGATGTCACTTGGGGCTACAAAAATGAGTTAAAAAAATTCAAATGGCTTATGTCTATAACAGTACAATGGATTGAGAGATCAGCTAATGCTTTTGTTGATGTCTTGGCAAAACAAGGGATAAATAGGGAAACATTGTTCTGGGCACAATTGTAACTATTGTTTTAATTTCAACAYTCATGTTTTCTCTGTTGTAGTTTGTGTATTTGCTGTTTGGAGAGGCTGCTCCTCGTGCCTCTAAGGGGATTTTCTTGTATCTATTCATTATTTTAATGGAATTGATGTTATTTATCAAAAAAAGCTTATGAGGGACTTCTTGTGAGAGCCAGGAGAGGACAGGAAAAGACCATAGGGTGAAGTGGGAGATTGTCTCTAGAAGTAGGGAGGATGGTGGTTTGGGACTAGGAAACATTAGGAAGAGAAATGAAGCTCTTTTGGGAAAGTGGCTATGGAGATTAACAGAGGACAGAGTAAGTTGTGGGCTAAGGTGATATTAAGTATACATGGGCTTGTTGATGATGGGTGGGACTCTGGAGATCCATACATGCCATTCTCCCTTCTTTCTTGCATCACATCAGGTATGATCTTTGCTCTGGTAACCAGGTGAAGTTCTGGGAAAACCTTTGGGAGGGAGAAGTTCCATTAAAAGATAAGTTCCCATCCTTATTCTCCCTCTCTCAGTATAAAGGGGAACCTATGTCTTCCTTTCTAGTCCCTTCTGAGTCTACCTTTAGTTTTGACTAGGATTTGGGTTTTAGAAGAGGCCTTAGGGACTCATAATTTAAGGATGCTCTGGAGTTAGTTCAAATTTTGAATGGGGTGGTTTTAGACCAATCAAAAAGGGATAATAGGATTTGGCCCTTAACCCCTTCTGGTTTCCTTTCCTGTGCTTCCTTCTTTAAGTCTTTGGTGTACTCTACTAACAATAGCCTTCAAAATTTTCCAATAAAGGAGTTTGGGGTAAACTGATCCCTCCAAGGATTGGAGCTTTTTATTCGGAAGCCTTCTTGGAAAGATGTAATACCTGTGATTTACTCCAAAGGAAAAGGCCTAATAGGTGCTTGTCCCCACATTGGTGCATCTTATGCAAGGCTAATAGTGAAAGCCCCGACCACCTATTAGTTTCTTGCCCTTTCAGTTCTGATATTTGGGTTTGGTTTGTGGATTTATTTGGTTGCAGGTGGCTCCCTCCCCCAAGCATACAAGGTTTGTTTGTTGCTTCTTTCTTTAGGTGGCTGAAGAAAAGAGATAAAATCATGTGGAGATGCTTGAGAGCTGCCATCTATTGGACATTGTAGGAAGAAGGGAATCAAAGAACCTTCTCTGAGAAAGAAAGAAGAGCTTATTGAGGTCATAACAGTTAGAGTGATGCAATGGTTGAAAACTTTGGAGTTGTTTGTTGGTGTCTCTACGGGTATGCTGCTGAACAATTGGAAGGAAGTAGCCTCCTCTGTGCCGACTCAATCAATGGTGCGCCCTCTGTGGTCACCACCACCCCTGGGGTTTTTGAAGTTAAACTTCGATGGGAGTAGTGAAGGCAACCCGGGACCATCAGGTGTTGGAGGTGTAATCAGAGATGAAAGTGGGAAGGTGGTTGCATTATACTCAGGTCCCATTGGGTTGGGTGATTCTCTTAGAGATGAACTGTTTGCTTTCTTAGTAGGGCTAAGGAAAGCAAAGGAGCTAAACATCCAAAAATTGATTATTGAAGGAGACTCACAGCTAGTGTTAAATTGATTAAGGAAGGGTAATGGTTTTTGGATCTATGCTAATAAGAGAAGAGAGGTTAAGTGGCTGCTAAGGGGAGTGGAAATCCAGGTTCTATGGTGAAAAGAACTGCAAATGCCTTTGCTGATAACTTGGCAAAACAGGGGGTGGGTAGGGGCCAATTGTTTTGGGAAATTCTGTAATCTTCTTGTTGTTTTGGGGGAGAGTTAAGTCATTTTATCTCTCCCTGAAATATTGTATGTATTCTTGAATTCTTTTAATACAATTGAATTCTGTCATTGGTCAAAAAAAAAAATCAGAAACATTGAGGGATTAATATATCTTCATCCTTTCATGGTTCATCATCACCTAAGGCTTGTCCCAACCATATGGGGGAGCTACATTAATCTTATTTCGCCATTCCACTCTATTCAATGCCATATCCATCTTTAAATTATGGGTGCTTAAATCATTTCTTATAACTCCCACCCAAGTCCTTTTTGGTCCTTAACCTATCTAATTTTGAGGATTTTTCTTTCATTGATTCCTGTAATGATTCAAATGTGATATGTTGCAAGTTGAAGGGGCTAGACAAGCTAAGGGTAGAGTGAAAGGGACTTGGGTGATAGTAATAAGAAATGATTTAAGTGCCCATAATTTAATGATGGATATGACACTGAACAGAACGGAGCGGAAGAACAGGATTCATGTAGCCAACCGCATATAGTTGGGACAAGGCTTAGATGATTAAGTATGGCATTTGAGTGAACCCATGATATATATGCTGCAGATCTTTCTTTTAAATCATTTAAATGCAGTAAATCAGTGAATCTTTCATACATAAGCCATACTGTGAAGACCATGTAAGCTATGTCCATGGAGTTTTTGCTCCTTGCCTTTTTCATACAATATTTCCCTTAGTTGTCAAAATAAAAGCTACAATAGCCTATCAAGATAAATACAGCCAACAAGATCCACTGCTGATTGAACAGCCCTCACTGATAAACTGATGGACCAAATAAAAGAAACAAGACGCAAAATATTTGCATGTGTCAAAAACACAAATGTCCATTTCTTACAGAATAGTCAAAGTGGTCTCACAGTTGCAGAAGCCCAGAGCCATGATTTAAACGTTAAAAGTTGAGGTCTCAGCTCCAGTTCTTTCATGACAGGAACCGATTCTTTCCAGTCCAGTTCAGCCTTTGATCTAGCTTTCTCTGCAGCCCAGACAGCATCCTCCACCTAGATTGGCAATGAAGATCACACAGAACGTTACAACCTTTAAAAGCAATAGTTTTAAATAAATTCTAAGCTAGAAAGCACGAAACTGAACTTGCAGAGCTTGAGTCTCAAACCAAGTGAAGCTCGCTAGTATGTTGTAGCTGCGAGGAAGTTGAACTAAGTAAGGGTACCACATAGAAGCCTTTCCTTTATCTATTTCAGCTAATAAACATACGGCCAATATCTGCAGAAAAGTTTGAAAAAAAATAAATTTTCCAAAAGATATAGATTTTAAAACTCCTAAAAAGAAAGTAGCAACTTAAAAACATAATTAAGCAACTGAAAAACCTTCTAGAACTTCGAAGTTTAAGCGAAGCAATTTATTTGAGAATCACCTGAGTAGAAGAGAGATGGGAGTATCCGTTGACAGAAATGGCAAGTTTCTGATCTGTCAACAGACTTTCCCTTGTCATCAAAGCGGATTTCGGCACTCTGAGAATCAACTCTCCTTTCCTAAGTTCACGGGCAGCAGCTAAACCTCTACTGCAGAATTCTCAAAATAAGAAGAAAGTCATTTCAGTTTTCAAAAATTCGAGAAGATGATGATATAGATTTGCTTTGCTAATCTTCAAAAAAAGAATAATGCCAAAATGACTTCTTTGAGAGAAAGAAATAGGCCATAAGGACTGCTTACCCCCCTGCGTCCGGAAAGTGTGAAACGAAAAGGGAATTGCCCAAACATAATGCAGTCGTTGATTGCAAGGGATTGGTTGAGTCTGAGATTCCCAACTGCGAGGCCCACTTCAAGAAAGTTTCCAGGTTTCCAGCCTCTCCCCCCATTTCTTTCTCCTGGTCTCGCCTCGGCTTCGACTCTCACGAGTCGGAGCTTTCAACTCACTCAACTGACTCAAGTTTCAGAGACTAATGTTTCACCTAATTACTAAAACCTAAATTTTAGGCCCTGACTTTTAAAAGTATAAAAGTATGAAACATGTGATATAATGTTTATATTGCATACTTTTTGCTTTTAATTCTATACTTTTTAAAAGTACAAAAACCCCCTAAAATCATGAAATTGGCTTTTTAGGCCCGATAGACTTTTATAAAGTATTTTCATACTTGTCCTGTTTGGATAGATTTTTATAAAGTACTTTCATACTTTTGAAAGTATAAAAGTATGGAAAGTACGATATAATGTTTGTATTATATAGTTTGTGCTTCACCTTTTATACTTATTAAAAGTACAAAAAACCCCAACAGCACGAAATTGGCTTTTTATATTTAGTGCTTTTTGTGAAATATTACTTTCGTTATCGTGCGAACGGGTGACCACCCTCCAATACAACTCTCGGCCCTACCTCTGTTCGCCGCTATTGGAGTTACACCAATGTCGTCAGTCTCAGCCACCAAACCATCGAAAGCATGGACGGACGTGCTTTTACCAAATAAGAAATAGTTCTTTTGTTCCGGAAAGCATACTTTACAAAATTTTTTATCTAAACGGTTTTCGAAGCAAAAACACCAAATAAAAACATTTTTTGTACTTTATACTTTGGTACTGTTAAAAGTACAAAAGTAGAAGTCTACCCAAATAGTGCCTTATACTTTGTGCTTTTGGCGAAATAGTACTTCCATTTTTATGCAAATGGGTACGTGTGACCACTCTCTAGTACAACTCTCGGCCCTACCATTGCTCGTCGCTACAGGAATTAGACCGCCATCGCCGGTCTCAACCACCAAATCATCGGAAACCGTCACCAGATGCATGAATGGATGTGCTTTTACCAAACAAGAAATGGTTCTTTTGTTCTATAAAGCATACTTTACAAAATTTTTCACCCAAATGGTTTTCAAAGCACAAATACTAAGGTAAAAGCATTTTATGTACTATGTACTTTGATACTATTAAACTTCAAGTGAGGGTAAGAGTTGAATTTACTCAAACCGGATTAAGTGGTAATTCTGCTGCACTTCAGGTGATTGATCACTTCACTTGCTTGGCTACTCAACTTTCTAATGCATGACACTTCTAACAGGAATATTTTCTTTTGGACCATTTTACCCCTAGTTTTAAAGGATCACCATGATCTAATTCTCCTTTTCCTTTTTTTTTCTTTTTTCTCTTTTTTTTTTGTCAGATCCTTTTTTGCCGGTCCACTTAGGTCTATCCAATGCTAATTGCCAATGTATCAGGGATCGAGGACTTTTAAGTAGGACAAAACGTGGCTTTGGACAAGGGTTCTAAAACAAATGATAAAATGCTCAAGAAATTTAAACTATAATGGGTATTGGATCTTTAAATCAATTTATAGGGCTTTTCTCAAGATTATGCTCTTGCGCTCCTATTCTTTTTCTTGATTTAACATTCTCATAGCCATAGATGAAAAAGATCTTCCTGTCTTTTAATATAATGGGTTATGCACCTAGGTGATCAAGGAGGACTTTATTATAAGACGAAATGTAAATAGGTAAGGCTGAAATAAAAAAAAAAAAAAAAAAAACCGAGAAATTATGTCACTATTGGACAATATCTTATCAATTTGATCGTCATATCTGCCCTAGTTGCTCTCACTAGCTCTTCTCTTCTTTTTGTCACAATAGCTAGCTACCCCAATTTATCTTTACAACCTCCTTTCCTTTTCATCTTTTTTATTTTCTTCTCTCTCTCTCTCTCTCTTTTTTTTTTGCACTTGCCCCAATTTTTCATATTCATTTATTTCTTTATGTTTCTTCTCAATTGATTGAGGTCCACACGTAGAATTGAACATCTGACATTCGCTTCTTAGAAAGGTTTACTTGAAGGAATTTTACTATAAAGGCTCAAAGGGATAACTAGTGGAATAAGCAATAAAGAGGGTTTAACGAAAAAGGATAAAGCAAATAGCCAAAAGAGGGCCTCCCATCATTTCTATACTGAATGCATAAGACATAGGGAAGATATACATGTCAAGCACAACTCGAGTTTAACTGAATCAAGGGCATTTATGTTATTTGACAACTTCAACATCGGAAATTTTGAAGTCACCCGAATGAGAGTGATTCTTTCCGTTCCTCTCTTCTTTCCTTATTTTCTTTTCTTTTTTCTTTATTCTTTTCCAATTCCCCTGTTTTCTCTTTTCCTCTTTTTTTTTTCTTCTCCTTCTTTTTTTTTTCTAAAACCTTTTCTAGCATTTTCGAAAGAAGCATATTGAGAATTTGATTGGTTTAACAAACAAGAATGTCCAATGAATCACCTCAATGGGCTAACTAGTGGTGTTAACAGTGGCAATGAGTTTGAGGTAATAAAAACAACAGATAATGACCTACAGTCCTTTCCCTAATTAGTCAGTAAAGCACTAAGTTAATATGACACCTTCATTCTATGTTGGCTCATAAAACGTATCAAAAGGAGTGCATATCCCATCACAATGAATTCAACCTTATGACTACCCTAGTTTGAGCTATTAATGGTGGGTTTATCTATGGATGCGCTTGGAGATGGATATTGTTGTTTTAGTTTTATAGGATTTCCTTCCCCTCCTTAGACATTTCTAGCGATGAATCTTCAATTAGCAATCATCACTTCACCAAGTTATGCCTTCGAGGTTCATTTTAAGTTATGATTATAGAATACTATGCTCATACAATCCCCTGAAGGAAGTGGCGACTCTATCTCTTCCAAGGTTGGGAAATCCCTTTCTTATTAAAACTTGCTACATTATTATCAAAATGACAAAATAGAACATCTAAGTAAAACTCAAAACACTAACTTAGAAAAATTGAACTTAATATACAAATTGCAAAACGAAATGATAAAAAGATGAATCGAGTCCTTTGTTAGGTAAAAACTAATTGATTAAAAAATTAGGACATTTTTATTATTATAGAGTAGTGACAACATGCTTAGAATCTTTTGGGTTAATCTTGGGCCCATTTGGCATGTCTTTTTTGGGAAGATTTTCTAGTAACTTTGACATGCAAAAGACATATTGAGCTTTTGCATGAAGATCTGAGTAGCCCAAATCATGTTTGGCAGATGCACGTCTTTCTGCGCAAGATTAAAACGCGAAAAACACAAAAAGCTTCATTTGAAGCTTCCCAAAATTAGCTCGGAAAGACTCGCCTAATAGGCCCCTTATCTTGTTCTTATTTCTCTTACTTTTTTTTTCTCTCCCCTCTTTAGAGCATTGGATTTTCGAATAATGGACAATGTATGCATGCGATAGAATAATGGAAAAACGTAAATGTGCACGTATGCGTGTGCCATTGGTGAAGTGAATGAAATACGAGATAATGATAAAAGGAATGCGTGGCTAATGTGTGACTAGACCTATTAGGGAAGCAACCTAAGGTTGTTTAATAGGTAAGAAGGAGTCTAAAACTGGAAAAGAAGATAATTTGAATGTAAATATCATTGATCAAGAAATTCACTTGATTATGAGATTTCATTTTTATTTTATTATCCCAGTTGAACCTAAACACTATTACCCAGGCTGCTTACGTACCCCACATGAGGGATCAAACCGAGCGTAGTTCGGATTATTTACAACTTCGACTATAAACAAAAGAAAAAAGGAACACGAAACCAAATGATCAAAAATCGCGATAAGCTGTTAAGGTTGAAATATTCCACTATCGATAAGATTCTATACTACAAACTGGAGAGGAATACATTGGTCGATGGGATGCCCTAGCATTCGAAGATAATCATAGAATGTACTTGACCTAAATCATCGCGTGAAAAAATTTGAAAATGGTCCTGACCAAAGAAGAATTGCAACTCTTTAGGGTTATCTAATCTTGATGACATGATACTTTCTGAATCCAATGTCTTAACTCATTTTGGACTAGACACCATGATCTTGAAGAAACTCTTCAAACTCAAAAAGGTGGCTAACAATTTTCTCTTATTAATGCATTATTTGTTTTATTAAATTATTTGGCCAACTGAAGGGAGTGAGAAATAATTTAGGAGCTATGTGGTGGGAGGTTTTACCTAAGGCAACTAAGATGGGATACACAGAATGCAAAACTTATATAAAAACCACGTAGTGCCGATAAAGCATCGAAAAAACAACAGTAAAACCAGCTTGCCCTAGTTTAAAAACAGATAGGGTGAACACCAGGGTAAATAAAGAAATATGCATGAAGCTAGGAATGGACCAACCACCTACGAAGAGGGTAGCTACTATGAGCTAGCTATCTAATCAAAGAGTCTGAAGGATAATGATGGAAAGGTGGAAGTTTACGGAGCTGAGTATGATGGATGATGATTTATTAGGCTCTAGTTGCACTAGGATGAAAATCAACTGACTAGGAATGGTAAGGATAAGCAATTTAGGAAGGTGGCTCAATAATGCTCTTTAGTTGGAAGAGCCACTAATGCCTCTATGGTCGACTATACTGAAAGAATGCAAAATGCAGTGCGATGCAAACAAGATGGACCTCTATCACGAAAATTATAAAAATCAAGAGGATATTTCCAAAACACACGAAAAATGAGGGGAAAATGATTTTATTAATTAAACAATAATTTCAAGAAAAAACGATGGCCATTAGCAACCAGCAAGCAAGTTTCATTCAAAAACCTAAAAAAGTTTGATCTACTCCAATGCTCACAGTTTACAACCAAGAACAAGCAAAGGAATTTCATACTCTTATGATTTTATCCATTTGTATTGCCTTCATGATTTTCTCTCTTTTTTCCTTTATATTTTGTATCATTTTCCATATAAATTTTATTCTCTCATTTTTTTATTTGCTATTTTCCTTGTTTTCACCTTCCTCTTGATTTTATTATTATTATTTTAATTTTTATGATTTATGATTTTTTTTTGTTTGCTATTTTTTCTTCGTTTTTTAATCCCAACTTGCTTTTAAGTTATTATTCCTTATTTTATATGATTATTATTTTTATTTATTACTTATTATTATTATTATTATAAACTCTTAGAGATTTTCTTCTACTTTCCCATTCCTATTTTTGGATATTACCCCCTTCTTTTTTTACTTGTTCAAATTTACCCTTTTTGTATTTTTGTCATCACTTTTATCTTTATCTTTTTTTCCTTTTTTATTTTTCTTCTTTTTTTTTTACATTTTTTGTTGTTATATTTTATTTATTTTGATTGATTTTTTTCATTCATTTTGTTGACATCTAAATTCTCTTAGTTGTTCCTTGACAAAAGCTGAAATAAGCCAGCTAGGTACGCTAAGGTCATTTGGCAAGCACACATACTCTTGAATCAATTGTTAAAGAAACTGACGGAGGAAAGGCCCACAAGTTTGTAAAAGATAAAACCTTTTAGTCGCTGTTTAATTTTACTTTTAAGAAGCGTTTTTATGTATTTGATAAAAAAGTGGAAAAAAATACATTTTGTTGTTAAAAAGAATACTTCTTAAAAAAGTAATTTGAAATTGGCGTTTTTTTTCAGCAATTGTAGGAGAAATACTTCTCCAAGAACGAATCAATCCCTGATTTTTTTTAATACCCAAAATACCCCACACAATGATTTACCTCCATCTCCTCTCATTACAACACTCTCCATTCGTTTTTTGGAATCGCATAGTAACCGGGTTGGGTATTTAGTGATTAAGCGTTGAAAAATACATTTACTGATTTACTAATTACTATCGCCGGTTTCTCGGATCCGGTGCATTTGGACTCCAAGGATTTTCTCTTCGAATCCATTATATTTTTGACACGTCAATCTGTCTTAACTGGCCATCACCCGCAACCGATTGAAACCGGAGCAAACTTTTCGATAGGAGGAAGCAGTTTGAGCTGGAGGACCTACTCCGGGGGCATCGGCGGAGATGCTGGAAAAAGGAAGTCTAGGAACAGTCTACAAGGCTGTGCTGGAAGATGGGTGAACGGTTGCGGTGAAGAGGCTCAAGGACGCCAACCCATGTGCGAGGAAGGAATCCGAACAGTATATAGGAAGCTCAGACAATTTAACCTGGTTCATCTCGGAGCTTATTACTACGCCAAGGAGGAACAGCTCCTCGTCTACGATTACCTCTCCAATGGAAGCTTGCATTCTCTTATCATTCTTACAGTATTGTTATAGTCTATATTCAATGAAGCTGAGCATGGATTAACTTTTGGGTTGATTTGAATCAGCGAATCGAGGACCCGGGAGGATTCCTCTGGACTGGACGACGAGGATTAGCTTGGTGTTACCGTGTTAGGAGCTGCTCGTGGGCTTGCTCGGATTCACGAGGAGTACAGTGGGTTGAAGATACCGCACGGGAATGTGAAGTCATCGAACGTGCTGCTCGACAAGAATGGCGTAGCTTGCATCTCTGATTTCGGGTTGGCTCTGCTTCTGAGCCCAGTTCACGCCATGGCGAGATTGAGAGGGTACAGCGCGCCGGAGCAGGGGGAGACGAAGAGGCTGTGTTGACGGGGAGGCTCTCGCTGCAGTATCGCTCCCCAATTCGACCGCGGGGGGCGGAGGAGGAGCAGGGAGTTAATCTTCCCAAGTGGGTATGATCGGTGGTGAGGGACGAGTGGACGGCGGAGGTGTTCGACCCGGAGCATCTGAGGTACAAGAACATAGAGGAGGAGATGATGGCGATGCTGCACGTAGGGCTGACATGAGTGGCGGAGAAAGGGGAGAAGAGGCCGACGATGTCGGAGGTGGCGAAGATGATCGACGATGTCGGTTGCAGGTGATGGCCAGTTGAGCACAAATTGACGTGTCAATATTTTAATGGACTCGAAGAGAAAATCGCTTCGAGTCCAAACGCACTGGATCCGTTGTGCGCTTTCCGTGCGTGACCCCACTTTCCAAAGCCAGAAGCCGTTGCGTGAAAGCAAACAGGAAACAGCTACCAAACGGGCACGTCGCGGTGAGCTTGCATTTGCGCCCCACCTTGCCGTTTGTTGTTGCTAGAGTCAACATTTAAACGGATGGAGACATGGAGTAGGACATCAAAACTTGAGATAAAATCTTCTCCGCACTACCTCCCTCCGCTGAGTTCTTGGCTACTGTAATGGAGGTTTTATCCTTCCTAAGTTCTTCTCCTTCACTTTTGCTTTTCGGAAGTCTCAAACCCAAACCTTCTAGGCTTTCTCTCCGGCAAAATGACTCTTCAAATCCAGCTTCGATTAGGAAGGTATCTTTTTATTTTTATTTTTTAATTCTGCCAATTCGCTTCGTTAACTTAAATTATTTTGTTTGAACTTTCTTGAACTTCTGCTTTATTTCTTTATTTTTTTGGTTTCTTTTAATTCCTAACAGAGTCTCTACAACAAAGCTAGTTGTGACTTTTCAATTCTGTCATTTTGTAGGGAATACCCATTAATGCCTTTTATGGTATATGTGTGGAATTTATTGTGTTGTTTTCAGCTTTCACTATTGCCTTTGTTCATATCTGTTTTTGGTAGTCTCTTGAGATTTTAATTGTAGAGAATGAAAGACTAGTTTCCTTTTTGCTGAATGCATGGGGGAATTCTTACGCTTTTGTCGTCAAAGTGAAGCTCGAGGGCACTGTTTGATTCCTTAAGTTGGGTACACGAATTGATTCTGGGTTTTAGAAAACTAAAGTACAAAAAGCAAACAAGAAAGGAATAAAGAGAGAAAACGAAATCCGATGCAACAAGAATAGTAGTTAATGAGCCGACTGTTTATGAGCACTAAGAAAATAGCCTGAGTGTGTTATGTGACTTTCTCTTGAACAGAGAAGAGATACGTTCCCCCCAGCTGTAGTGCCGGAGCACCGCTCAAACAGGGATTCTAATGAAGTAGACAATAAAATACTCAATAATCCATTATCAGAAGAGATTACATAGATATAGGGCCATTGTAACCTTCAAAAAGTAAGAATTAATAATTGGTTGGTTTCAATGCAACTTAAGTTGGTTTTGAATTAGTAAAAATTAAAAAAAAATTAATTATAGAACTAATAATTGTTAGATAGTTTTGTATTAGTTTTATATTAATTTTAAATTGATAATAGTTTTTAATTTAGCTTATTTCTTTTTATTAATGAAATTATTTTTATTATATTTTTTTGATCAATAAATTTGTTTATTATATTAATAAAAATATTTTTATTACTACTACTACTACTACTACTACTAATAATAATAATAATAATACTAATAATACTAATAATACTAATAATATTTAATTTTTTTACTGTGGTTAACTAATTTTTATTATTTTCGAATGGAATATAAATGGATTATAATTTCTATGATGTTTTATTCAATGTTTTCAACTTTTTGTTGACTCAAATAGTCGAACCATTCAAACCATCACTTGACCCTATTTCTAATTTATTTTTACTCAATTTTCATTTTATTAATTTCTATTTACTGATAAGATATTTGAATGACTCTTTTTTATTTTCAAAAAATCACTAAAAAATGAAAAATTGAAGTTATCTTGAGTATTAAAAATAATATTAAACTAAAGCAATACAAAATAATAAAATAGAAAAGAAGCAAATAAAAAAAGTCATTCAAATATCTTATCAGTAAATAAAAATTAATAAAATGAAAATTGAGTAAAAATGAAGAAGTAATTGTATTGCATAATAATTATTTGAATACAAAAATAGTCATTTGAAAATAGTTGATTCGAATACAAGAAAGTACAAAAAGCTAAATTAATAAACAATAAATAAATAGTAAATGAAAAAAATAGTCATTTGAAACACGACAAAATAATCATTTAAAAATAGTAAAGGAATGAATAATAAACATTTAAATTACTATTTTCAAAATAATAAAATAGATCAGTAGCCATTTGAAAATAGGCATTCGAAATAAAACCATATTGACTGGAATAAAGTGCTGGGACTGTCCTGATATCGAATTTGTTATTGCTGATGATCCTACTACTTTCTATCTATGTGTAGCATTGGCATATACAGGTCTATCTGTCTATGATAGCCTAATTTCTTTTAGCATGGTGTTGGGATATATCCCATCTCATATAATGGGCACACCCATAATTGATAGCCTTAAAGTATTCTTCTTAAAAGACAATAACAGCCATTTTATATTCTTTTGGTCATTATTAACTAGGGTATATTTTGTCTTTTTGACATGGAATGTACCTGTTTGTCAAAAGTGAGATATGCCCAAAATCAGTGCCCTTCTATTCGTATTTCTCTATTTGCCCAAAATCAAGGGTCTCTAGAGATTTCTTGTTTAGTGACAGTTGTTTGCCTTAGTAATCTGGCCAAGCCTCTCTTGGCTTCAGTACATCCTCTCATGTCTGTTTGTTTCTTCTTTAATAAAAAGTTACCTTTGTTTCAAAAAAAAAAAAAAAACATTTCTCTATTTGACTTGCATTTTTGTGGATTTGTTTGTTTGTTTGTTTGTTTTTTTTTACCTGGGTGGCCAGGGTTCAAATCTTGGAAACGGCCTCTCTGTTTGTGCCGGGGTAAGGATGTGTACATCTGTCCCTCCCCAGACCCTACACTGGCAGGAGCCTTGTGCACTGGGCTGCCCTTTTGTGGAATTGTTTTTGACATGCTTGTTTAATTTGACTTTCTTATGCACTTCAAGTAGATTACCTGGAACTGGAAGAAGCGGGGAAACATCAGAGGAGCTGATAAATATGTGGAACTTGCCTCATTGATACATGTCTTAGGTAGAAAAAGAATGCCTCATGTAGCTGAGCAACTCTTCCTGGAGATGAAATCTGAGGGTTTCCAACCTAACCTTGCTACTTTGTCAGCTCTAATGTTATGTTATGCAGATAATGGCCTCTTGTCCCAAGCTCGATCCATCTGGGATGAAATTATAAACAGTTCATTTGTGCCTAACATTGAACTAGTTGCATATCTAATGGATGCATATCGGATGATGGGGCGTTTTGATGAAATAATGAGACTTCTAAATGAAGTTATTTCAAGGGATTTTAACATGTGTCCTCAAATTTACTCATTAGCCATCTCTTGCTTTGGAAAGGGTGGACAACTTGAATTGATGGAAGCTATGATGAAGGAAATGGTTTCAAGTGGTTATGCAGTGGATTCTGCCACTGGAAATGCCTTTATTGAATATTATAGTATTTTTGGTTCTCTAACAGATATGGAAATTGCCTATGGCCGCCTTAAAAGATCTAGAATTCTCATTGAGGAAGATGGAATTAGGGCAGTGGCATCAGCTTATATAAGGAAAAAGAGTTTTTATAAGCTAGGTGAGTTCCTAAGAGATGTTGGTCTTGCTCGGAGGAATGTGGGAAATCTTATCTGGAATCTTCTTTTGCTATCTTATGCTGGTAACTTCAAAATGAAAACCCTGCAAAGAGAATTTTTAAGAATGCTAGAGTCTGGGTTTTCTCCTGATCTAACTACATTTAACATACGAGCTCTGGCTTTCTCAAAGATGTCTTTGTTTTGGGATATCCATCTAAGTCTTGAACATATGAAACATGAAAGGGTCATCCCTGATCTTGTCACATTTGGATGCATTCTTGATGCATACTTGGACAAGAAACTTGGAAGGAACTTGGATTTTGCTTTGAATGCAATGGACATTGATGATGTTCCACAAGTTTTAACAGATCCACTAGTTTTTGAGGTTTTTGGAAAAGGAGATTTTCATTTGACCTCAGAGGCACTATTAGAGTCTAACAGATGGAGGAAATATACTTACAGGGAGCTAATCTCAATATATGTCAAGAAACAATACCGGAGTAACCAAATCTTTTGGAATTATTGACAAGTGGCATGCCTGGGTAAAATTTCTTTGTAGTTGGTTATGGACATAAATTTAAATACTGATGAAGTAAACATGGTGGTTAATTTCTTCTGCGTTTTGCTGAACAACGTGCTGCTATCAAATTGAGGAACAACTATTTGCAATGATGCAAGGGCTGTGGTTGGTGAAATCTCTCAAGTTCTTTGGTTGTGGAGGTGACTCAAAAGTGGTAGTGGGCTGGTTAAAGAAAAACAGTCTAGGGATGTGGAATTATTGAAACACTTTGAAGGAGATAAGAAAACTGGCATGAGAAGTAGAAATTGAATTCTCTTGGATTCATAGATAAGCAAACACCTTGGTGGATGCACTACCTAAACAAGGGGTAAACAGGGACCAGCTATTTGGGGATTTTCACAAAGATTGGGTTATGTGGCAAGAGTCAGCCTTAAAATGGGGGTGCCAGACGCGAAGTGGTTATAAAAGGCTTTCCACCCCCAAAGAGGATTCTAACTTAAGCTTCGGAGCCTTTACACCGGGTTCTCCCCGGAGCTTCCTCATCTCCTCCGTTTCAGGTTCCTTGCTACTCAGTTCAGAGGCAAGGTCGTTGACAGCTAAGACCGGCCGGATTGCGCATCATCATTAATCATTGCTGAATTTCTTTTGCTTTTTTGCCGGATATGTACTTTTTCTTTTTTTCTATTGCAGTTCCAAGTACACAAACTGCGATTTGTCGCATAAGGTTGATAATGTTAGAACCATGACATGGTACATAAACACTTCTATACTTTTACAACATAATGACACTTACTCTTGTTGGTTATATATTCATGCGTTGGTTTGATCCAATCCCACGGATATGTTAGAATATGTTTCTTGTTGGTCATAATTTTGCTTTTTTTTTTGTCGGTTCGGGGTAGTTTAGTCAGGCATGTATTGATCTTTATTTGTCCAAAAATATTTGTGATAGATCGGATTACCTGTGCAATGCCTTAGATAGATGGAATTTTGTTTGTTTGATTAGACCCAGCGTGGTGTTATAGCAACACATTTGTAGCGTTAGGCTCAGTCATCTGAAATCCACGGAAACAACTTATGCCAACTAGTTGGAGTTAGCTACATGAATCTCGTTCGTTCTATCATTGCACTCTTTCAAGGACTCTATCCTTCGTTAAATAGAGTTTCAGTACTTTTTTTTTTTTTTAATCATTCTTATCAATAAAATATTTGACAGTTGTTACTCAAATAAAAAAAGGACTGCTGTTGTCAAATTGTTTTTTCTTTTTATACTGCAAGCTGGTGAGATCTACCTCCAGGCTTTACATCCTTGTGGAGACAACTGAGATCTGTCCTGAGTGGTTGTTTGAAGTGAAGAGCTGCAAGTTCCCACCAAAGAATATTTCAAGAACTTTTCAATCCATCTAGAAGAAAGTAATAATCAGAAAAATAAAGAAACAACTACACTGGTGATGGAGAAGCTGCAAAATGGGGAGGCAGTTCTTTAGCAGTATAGGAATGACTTAAAAAAAATTCTTATGACTGACTAGAGAAATGGAAGTGATTTCGTTGGGTTCAAAGGGCAGCAAACAGTATGGCTGATGTATTAGCCAAACAAGGAGTGGGGTGAGAGAAAATCTTCAGGCACAATTGTAAGGAAAGATTAAATGGGGAGATAAAAGATTTTTATCTCTCCTATGTGTGTATGCAAAATTGTATATTAAATTGCTATTAATGAAATGATTGGTTATTGATAAAAAACAGATTTATTGTGTTCGGCCTGGTTGCATACATTCGGAGAAAACAGCAATCATAAGTCTCCTTTAATGATAAATAGAAAAGAAAATGAACAGGCAGAGACCTATCTCATGGCCCTGCTACACTGCTTCTATTCCTGTAGAGATAACGTTCTGTCTATTTCAACAAAGAACAGAAATATTTGAATAGAACACTTGAAGTGACCTCATATTGCAGAAGCAATATCGTCATTTGTCAGACTTAGGCCTGGTTGGATGATTGGCCCATTGGAACAAGGAATCGGTATCCAAAATGGGTATTTGATTTCCTAGTTATTGGAAATATTGACTTGGTCAAACTTTATCCCAATTACACACGTTAATAAGTGTTATGCCCTCTAGCGTTCATTGTTTTAAGCTTATTTTGATGTAAAATAACTTTAGAAGATACTCTGGAATAATTTTCTTTTCTTTTAATTTTTAATTATATATGCTTTTTGCATTTCTGTTTGAATGAGTTAAATGGTTGAACTGGATATTTGCACCATTTGACCTTTTCCCAGTCACTGAAATGCTTCTATGTCATGCACCAAAAAAAAAGAAAACCAAAAAGCTTCTATTCTATTATGGTGCAAATCTAACAACATCATTAAGAAGAAAAACAAGTGTGGACAAACTGGGGGATTAGTGTCAGGGTGGAATTGAGGAGTGAAATTGGAAAACCAAACCCAGGTTGAGCCAGCATTGTTACTTGAAAGACACATGACTGTTGGGCCTCAAGGGACACTGATAGACAACTATAAAGGTCTATCATCGTCTAGATTGGTTACAAGAACAGAAGAAGGGTGGAAAAAAACCAGTAAAAGGTGTTGTTCTTTCCTGGAGACCAAGGCCATTGACCAACTCCACTAGCCTGAAATGACCCAATCTGAAGTATAACTGCAGGGAAGATGAAGATGGTGACTTTGCTAACAGCTGGGTTAACCTGGAACAGTTTGGATGTGATGAAAATGTTGATTCAGAGTGCTTTAGCATTGGTAATATAGAAAGCTGTGGTAAAATAAAGGTATTGGATAAAGAGGTGGTAAGAATGGAATTATTATTTGAGGGGGAGCTACTTAGCTCCAGTGAAGCTAATGGCATAGCTCAAGTGGGGAGTGCCACTGAGTTTGAAGTAGAAAGAAAACCATGTACAAATCAGATTCAAATGCAGGGTGTGCATAGGGACTAGGGAGATGTAAGGCAACCTTTAATCCATCTACACCATCCATCCCCAAATTCGCACTTCCTTAGCACCTCTAACAAGAAGCTCTAATCCATTAAACCATAGGCCTTTTCCAGATTCAATATACAAAGTTTTGATTACCCAATTTTATCATCTCCTCCACACATTCATTTGCTAGTAAAATCTAATAAATTATGTCTTCCATGAACAAGAGCACCTTGAGCTTGACTGATAAGGGAGAAAAGTACCTTTTTGATCCTCAAAGACAAGACCTTAGCCAGAATCTTATAAATGCTAGTCACTAGGCTAATAAGTTTAAAATCTTTAGGATGTTTGGCCAATTTCTTCTTTGGAACCAAGGCTAGAAAAGTAGCATTAACTCCATGATTTATAACAAAATTATCCTCAAACTCTTTAAATACCTCAAACAGGTCTTCCTTAATTATATTCTAGCAATCTTGAAAGAAGGCCATAGTAAAACCATTTGGCTTTGGTGCCTTAGATCTATCCATTGAGAAAACTGTTTGTCTAATTTCCTCATCAAAATTCCTTTCCAATTAGCCTTTGTTTTCTTCAGAAAGTTTCGAACAAACTACATCTTCTAGGCTCTAGCTCCACTCTATTACCTAAAGGTTTCCTCAAGATAGATTTGAAATGAGTTACAAAACAGTTGGCTGTCTCCTCTTGGGAATCATGTACCATTCCATCTGCTTCAAGTTTAGTCACCAGGTTTTTCCTCCTTCCATTCATAGTTGTCAAGGCAATGCCTAGGCAACTAGGTGGTTTTCAAACTTCACCTTGCCCAGACGCCATGCAAAGTTTGTATAAGGCGCACACCCAGTCAGTTAGGCGCACGCCTAGACTAGATGCAAGACACATTAATACATCCCTTAATACATTGATCCTTTATTATTTTTATATTGTTTTTTACTTTTCTTTTGCTGTAAATAGTTTTTATTGGTTAGATTTTGTTATTACAATAGAACCTATCACACATTATCACTCTTTTTATTAGAAGAAGAGTTCTGTCTTTTTAGGGTTTTATTTTCATGGCAGAACTGAATAGAAGAGGGAGAGCTGTCTGGTCAGGTATGTTTCACACACAGTCCAACTCCAACTGTTGCTGCAATGCTGCATAACCAACTAGAAGTCTAAACAACTTCAAATATGCCAGGTAGTCAAATGAATCATCTTCTTCTCCTCAGTTTTCAGACCGCTTATTCTTCCTCCTACCCTCTTCGTTTTCAGCCTTTTTTTTCTTCCTTTTTGTTGGTTCTTCCTGTTTTTTTTTTGGTCTTTTCCATACATTTTTTTGCATGAATTTTTTTGGAATCAAACAGGGGCTCCGCCCCCTTTGATTTTCCTGCAAACTTTTCACCCTTTTACCTGCACTTTTGTCCTCCTCGATGGTAATCTGGAACAAGGGTTCCGCCCCCTTTTCTTCTTCATTTCTCTGAGTTTCTTCATCATTTTTTCCTCTTCACTGGTGATCTGAAACAGGGTCTCTGCCCCCCTGCTTTTCATTTTTTTTCTTTTATTTAGTGTTTCCCTAGTTTTTCTTGGTCTAAAACAGCAATGGAGCCCCTTGTTCTTTTTCTCTTTTTGGTCTAAAACAGGGCTCTGCCTCCCTGTTTTCTCCTTAAGTTCTTTTTCTTTTCTTGGTCAAGCACAGGGGCTACGCCCTCTCCAGTTCTTCTTTTAAGTCCAAATTTCTATTTCTAATATTCTGTGTTGCATGCTTTAAGCACGACTACAAGAATCATAAGTAGAAAATTTAGTTTAGAGGTTTGTAGGTTAATGTATAAAACCAATCAACTAGCTCATGAAGGGTAGAAACATGTAGGCTTACTATTTTCTGATTTCATCGCCTAGGCAAGGCCTAGGTGCCTGGGTGCCCCTTGGTCGCCTAGCCTCGCCTTGGCACCTTGAAAACTATGCTTCCATTGGTTATTTTGTGAAAGAATATTGTATTTCCATCACATTCCTTCATCCATTTGCATCTTATTTCTGCCTCCAAGAGATTTCTTCTTGCAAGAGGACTTCTTCTAAATCCCTCTTCAACTTCCATCTCAATTCTCTTTCCTGTACATTCATGATTCTTTGGGACCCCTTCACATCCAATTCCTTTATCTGGAGTATCAAAGTTGATTTTAGTTCTTTTCTCCCAAATTGGTCCCTATTCCATTCTTTTAATTTTGACCTCAAGCTTTTATTAGACTGGGATTAGTTTTTGGACTAGATGTACCCTGACTCTCCTCTATCAAATCTGCCAATTTTACCGCTTCCTTGGGCAATGTAGGATTCTGAGAGGGCTCCTTCTGGACAACTTCTACCAGACTTGAGGCTTTGTTTTCCTTAGGCAACGTAGTTTTTAGACTGGATGTACCCTGTACTACACTGCCAAGGCTAAATGTGTTATCAGTTTTAGAGTCTGAACAATTTCCCTCCTCTGTCAAACAACCCTCCTCAAAAGTTTCAGTTTCTGTGTTTTGCAGTCTCTAAATCTTTGGAGCACATTGCTGAACATTCGAAGGAGGTTTCTTATACTTGGCATTGCGTAGTTCTGGGGAGCAAACTTGTTTGCC